GGAGGTTGAATAGCTCGTTATTATCAAAATCTCATCTTCATCAAAACAGAAATGCGCAGCCGCTTTTATGCAGCAGACGCCGTACGCTTACATACGGAGATACACTAAATATACATCAGGCAAAGCTCCGTATTAGTTCCGTACTGCTTCCGTAATGGTCGGGCAGGGATACTACAATAGCTCAAAAATAACCTATGTCACAGTTTGGGGCATTTTACCCGTGAATCTTCACTTTGCGGCTAAAGTATTCACAGCAGTGTCAAATTTTTTGGGTCACTGCATGTAGGTGCCAGCGCCCTACAGGCAAACTAAAAATCAAATCAATGCGACCACTGACATTACAGCTGGGTCATGTTATAGAGAGGTACATTGAAATTCAAAGGTCAGCACAAATGGTCAAAATCCGACATTTTCTCACCTTTCTGCCCGTTCGCAACTCAGAAAACGACAATGAACATCCTCATCTCCTTGTGTAGCTGGACATAGACAAGTGCAACAAGAAAAACAGCCACATTTCTCTAAAGAACTCGCCCAGGGCTGCTGAAAGCTCAAAAATAACCTATCTCACAGTTTGGGGCTTTTTACCCGTGAATCTTCACTTTGCGACTAAACTATTCACAGCAGTGTCAAATTTGTTGGGTCACTGCATGTAGGTGCCAGCGCCCTACAGGCGAACTAAAAATTAAATCAATGCGACCACTGACATTACAGCTGGGTCATGTTATAGAGAGGTACATTGAAATTCAAAGGTCAGCACAAATGGTCAAAATCCGACATTTTCTCACCTTTCTGCCCGTTCGCAACTCAGAAAACGACAATGAACATCCTCAACTCCTTGTGTAGCTGGACATAGACAAGTTCAACAAGAAAAACAGCCACATTTCTCTAAAGGACTCGCCCAGGGCTGCTGAAAGCTCAAAAGTAACCTATCTCACAGTTTGGGGCTTTTTACCCGTGAATCTTCACTTTGCGATTAAACTATTTACAGCAGTGCAGAATTTTCTAGGTCACTGAATGTGGGTGCCAGCGCCCTACAAGCAAACCAAAGCAAAAATCAAATCAATGCGACCACTGACATTACAACTGGGTCATGTTATAGAGAGGTACATTGAAATTCAAAGGTCAGCACAAATGGTCAAAATCCGACATTTTCTCACCTTTCTGCCCGTTCGCAGCTCAGAAACAGACAATGACCATCCTCATCTCCTTGGGTAGCTGGACATAGACAAGTGCACCAAGAAAAACAGCCACATTTCTCTCAACAACTCGCCCAGGGCTGCTGAAAGCTGAAAAATAACCTATCTGACAGTTTGGGGCTTTTTAACCGTGAATCTTCTCTTTGCGACTAAACTATTCACAGCAGTGTCAATTTTTCTGGGTCACTGCATGTGGGTGCCAGCGCCCTACAGGCAAACCAAAAATCACATCAATGCGACCACTGACATTACAGCTGGGTCATGTTATAGAGAGGTACATTGAAATTCAAAGGTCAGCACAAATGGTCAAAATCCGACATTTTCTCACCTTTCCGCCCGTTCGCAGCTCAGAAACAGACAATGACCATCCTCATCTCCTTGTGTAACTGGACATAGACAAGTGCCCGAAGAAAAACAGCCACATTTCCATATAGAACTCACCCAGGGCTGCTGAAAGCTGAAAAATAACCTATCTCACAGTTTGGGGCTTTTTACCCGTGAATCTTCACTTTGCGACTAAACTATTCACAGCAGTGTCAAATTTTCTGGGTCACTGCATGTAGGTGCCAGCGCCCTACAGGCAAACCAAAAATCAAATCAATGCGACCACTGACATTACAGCTGGGTCATGTTATAGAGAGGTACATAGAAATTCAAAGGTCAGCACAAATGGTCAAAATCCGACATTTTCTCACCTTTCTGCCCGTTCGCAGCTCAGAAACAGACAATGACCATCCTCATCTCCTTGTGTACCTGGACATAGACAAGTGCACAAAGAAAAACAGCCACATTTCTGTAAACAACTCGCCCAGGGCTGCCGAAAGCTGAAAAGTATCCTATCTCACAGTTTGGGGCTTTTTACCCGTGAATCTTCACTTTGCGACTAAACTATTCACAGCAGTGTCAAATTTTCTGGGTCACTGCATGTAGGTGCCAGCGCTCTACAGGCAAACCAATAATCAAATCAATGCGACCACTGACATTACAGCTGGGTCATGTTATAGAGAGGTACATTGAAATTCAAAGGTCAGCACAAATGGTCAATATCCGACATTTTCTCACCTTTCTGCCCGTTCGCAGCTCAGAAAATGACAATGAACACCCTCATCTCCTTCTGTAGCTGGACATAGACAAGTGTATCAAGAAAAACAGCCACATTTCTCTAAAGAACTCGCCCAGGGCTGCTGAAATCTCAAAAATAACCTATCTCACAGTTTGGGGCTTTTTCCCCGTGAATCTTCACTTTGCGACTAAACTATTCACAGCAGTGCCAAATTTTCTTCGTCACTGAATGTGGGTGCCAGCGCCCTCCAAGCAAACCAAAAATCAACCGCCCAGGGCTGCTGAAAGCTCAAAAATATCATATCTCACAGTTTGGGGCTTTTTACCCGTGAATCTTCACTTTGCGACTAAACTATTCACAGCAGTGCCAAATTTTCTGGGTCACTGCATGTAGGTGCCAGCGCCCTACAGGCAAACCAAAAATCAAATCAATGCGACCACTGACATTACAGCTGGGTCATGTTATAGAGAGGTACATTGAAATTCAAAGGTCAGCACAAATGTTCAAAATCCGACATTTTCTCACCTTTCCGCCTGTTCGCAGCTCAGAAACAGACAATGACCATCCTCATATCCTTGTGTAGCTGAACATAGACAAGTGCACAAAGAAAAACAGCCACATTTCTCTAAAGAACTCGCCCAGGGCTGCTGAAAGCTCAAAAATATCATATCTCACAGTTTGGGGCTTTTTACCCATGAATCTTCACTTTGCGACTAAACTATTCACAGCAGTGCCAAATTTTCTGGGTCACTGCATGTAGGTGCCAGCGCCCTACAGGCAAACCAAAAATCAAATCAATCCGACCACTGACATTACAGCTGGGTCATGTTATAGAGAGGTACATTGAAATTCAAAAGTCAGCACAAATGTTCAAAATCCGACATTTTCTCACCTTTCCGCCGGTTCGCAGCTCAGAAACAGACAATGACCATCCTCATCTCCTTGTGTAGCTGGACATAGACAAGTGCACCAAGAAAAACAGCCACATTTCTCTAAAGAACTCGCCCAGGGCTGCAGAAAGCTGAAAAATAACCTATCTCACAGTTTGGGGCTTTTTACCCGTGAATCTTCACTTTGCTACTAAACTATTCACAGAAGCGCCATATTTTCTGGGTCACTGAATGTGGGTGCCAGCGCCCTCCAAGCAAACCAAAAATCAAATCAAAGCGACCATTGACAATGCAGCTGGGTCATGTTATAGAGAGGTACATTGAAATTCAAAGGTCAGCACAAATGGTCAAAATCCGACATTTTATCACCTTTCTGCCCGTTCGCAGCTCAGAAAACAACAATGAATATCCTCAACTCCTTGTGTAGCTGGACATAGACAAGTGCACCAAGAAAAACAGCCACATTTCTATAAACCACTCGCCCAGGGCTGCCGAAAGCTGATAAATAACCTATCTCACAGTTTGGGGCTTTTTACCCGTGAATCTTCACTTTGCGACTAAACTATTCACAGCAGCGCCAAATTTTCTTGGTCACTGAATGTGGGTGCCTGCGCCCTCCAAGCAAACCAAAAATCAAATCAATGCGACCATTGACAATGCAGCTGGGTCATGTTATGGAGAGGTACATTGAAATTCAAAGGTCAGCACAAATGGTCAAAATCCGATATTTTCTCACCTTTCTGCCCGTTCGCAGCTCAGAAAATGACAATGACCACCCTCATCTCCTTTTGTAGCTGGACATAGACAAGTGTACCAAGAAAAACAGCCACATTTCTCTGAAGAACTTGCCCATGGCTGCTGAAAGCTGAAAAATAACCTACCTCACAGTTTGGGGCTTTTTAACCGTGAATCTTCACTTTGCGACTAAACTATTCACAGCAACGCCAAATTTTCTGCGTCACTGAATGTGGGTGCCAGCCCCCTCCAAGCAAACCAAAAATCAAATCAATGTGACCATTGACAATGCAGCTGGGTCATGTTATAGAGAGGTACATTGAAATTCAAAGGTCAGCACAAATGGTCAAAATCCGACATTTTCTCACCTTTCTGCCCATTCGCAACTCAGAAAACGACAATGAACATCCTCAACTCTCTGTGTAGCTGGACATAGACAAGTGCACAAAGAAAAACAGCCACATTTCTCTAAACAACTCGCCCAGGGCTGCTGAAAGCTGAAAAATAACCTATCTCACAGTTTGGGGCTTTTTACCGTGAATCTTCACTTTGCGAATAAACTATTTACAGCAGTGCAGAATTTTCTAGGTCACTGAATGTGGGTGCCAGCGCCCTACAAGCAAACCAAAAATCAAATCAATGCGACCACTGACATTACAGCTGGGTCATGTTGTAGTGAGGTACATTGAAATTCAAAGGTCAGCACAAATGGTCAAAATCCGACATTTTCTCACCTTTCTGCCCGTTTGCAGCTCAGAAACAGACAATGACCATCCTCATCTCCTTGTGTACCTGGACATAGACAAGTGCACAAAGAAAAACAGCCACATTTCTCTAAAGAACTCGCCCAGGGCTGCTGAAAGCTGAAAAATAACCTATCTCACAGTTTGGGGCTTTGTACCCGTGAATCTTCACTTTGCGACTAAACTATTCACAGCAGTGTCAAATTTTCTGGGTCACTGCATGTGGGTGCCAGCGCCCTACAGGCAAACCAAAAATCACATCCATGAGACCACTGACATTACAGCCGGGTCATGTTATAGAGAGGTACATTGAAATTCAAAGGTCAGCACAAATGGTCAATATCCGACATTTTCTAACTTTTCCGCCCGTTCGCAGCTCAGAAAATGACAATGACCATCCTCATCTCCTTGTGTAGCTGAACATAGACAAGTGCACTAAGAAAAACAGCCACATTTCTCTAAAGAACTCGCCCAGGGCTGCAAAAAGCTCAAAAATATCATTTCTCACAGTTTGGGGCTTTTTCCCCTGAATCTTCACTTTGCGACTAAACTATTCACAGCAGTGCCAAATTTTCTGGGTCACTGCATGTAGGTGCCAGCGCCCTACAGGCAAACCAAAAATCAAATCAATGCGACCACTGACATTACAGCTAGGTCATGTTATAGAGAGGTACATTGAAATTCAAAGGTCAGCACAAATGGTCAAAATCCAACATTTTCTCACCTTTCTGCCCGTTCGCAACTGAGAAAACGACAATGAACATCCTCAACTCCTTGTGTAGCTGGACATAGACAAGTGCACCAAGAAAAACAGCCACATTCCTCTAAACAACTCGCCCAGGGCTGCTGAAAGCTGAAAAATAACCTATCTGACAGTTTAGGGCTTTTTACCCGTGAATCTTCACTTTGCGAATAAACTATTTACAGCAGTGCAGAATTTTCTAGGTCACTGAATGTGGGTGCCAGCGCCCTACAAGCAAACCAAAAATCAAATCAATGCGACCACTGACATTACAGCTGGGTCATGTTATAGTGAGGTAAATTGAAATTCAAAGGTCAGCACAAATGGTCAAAATCCGACATTTTCTCACCTTTCTGCCCGTTCGCAGCTCAGAAACAGACAATGACCATCCTCATCTCCTTGTGTACCTGGACATAGACAAGTGCACAAAGAAAAACAGCCACATTTCTCTAAAGAACTCGCCCAGGGCTGCTGAAAGCTCAAAAATATCATATCTCACAGTTTGGGGCTTTTTACCCGTGAATCTTCACTTTGCGACTAAACTATTCACAGCAGTGCCAAATTTTCTGGGTCACTGCATGTAGGTGCCAGCGCCCTACAGGCAAACCAAAAATCACATCAATGCGACCACTGACATTACAGCTGGGTCATGTTATAGAGAGGTACATTGAAATTCAAAGGTCAGCACAAATGGTCAAAATCCGACATTTTCTCACCTTTCCGCCTGTTCGCAGCTCAGAAACAGACAATGACAATCCTCATCTCCTTGTGTAGCTGGACATAGACAAGTGCACCAAGAAAAACAGCCACATTTCTCTAAAGAACTCGCCCAGGGCTGTTGAAAGCTCAAAAATAACCTATCTCACAGTTTGGGGCTTTTTACCCGTGAATCTTCACTTTGGGACTAAACTATTCACAGCAGCGCCAAATTTTCTGCGTCACTGAATGTGGGTGCCAGCGCCCTCCAAGCAAACCAAAAATCAAATCAATGCGACCATTGACAATGCAGCTGGGTCATGTTATAGAGAGGTACATTGAAATTCAAAGGTCAGCACAAATGGTCAAAATCCGACATTTTCTCACCTTTCTGCCCGTTCGTAACTCAGAAAACGACAATGAACATCCTCAACTCCTTGTGTAGCTGGACATAGACAAGTGCACCAAGAAAAACAGCCACATTTCTCTAAACAACTCGCCCAGGGCTGCTGAAAGCTGAAAAATAACCTATCTCACAGTTTGGGGCTTTTTACCCGTGAATCTTCACTTTGCAATTAAACAATTTACAGCAGTGCAGAATTTTCTAGGTCACTGAATGTGGGTGCCAGCACCCTACGAGCAAACCAAAAATCACATCAATGCGACCACTGACATTACAGCTGGGTCATGTTAAAGAGAGGTACATTGAAATTCAAAGGTCAGCACAAATGGTCAAAATCTGACATTTTCTCACCTTTCTGCCCGTTCGTAGCTCAGAAAATGACAATGACCACCCTCATCTCCTTGTGTAGCTAGACATAGACAAGTGCACCAAGAAAAACAGCCACATTTCTCTAAAGAACTCGCCCAGGGCTGCTCAAAGCTGAAAAATAACCTATCTGACAGGTTGGGGCTTTTTACCCGTGAATCTTCACTTTGCGACTAAACTATTCACAGTAGTGTCAAATTTTCTGGGTCACTGAATGTGGGTGCCAGCGCCCTACAAGCAAACCAAAAATCAAATCAATGCGACCACTGACATTTCAGCTGGGTCATGTTATAGAGAGGTACATTGAAATTCAAAGGTCAGCACAAATGGTCAATATCCGACATTTTCTCACCTTTCCGCCCGTTCGCAGCTCAGAAACAGACAAGGACCATCCTCATATCCTTGTGTAGCTGGACATAGACAAGTGCACCAAGAAAAACAGCCACATTTCTCTAAAGAACTCGTCCAGGGCTGCTGAAAGCTGAAAAATAACCTATCTCACAGTTTGGGGCTTTTTACCCGTGAATCTTCACTTTGCGACTAAACTATTCACAGCAGTGTCAAATTTTCTGGGTCACTGCATGTAGGTGCCAGCGCCCTACAGGCAAACCAGAAATCAAATCAATGGGACCACTGACATTACAGCTGGGTCATGTTATAGAGAGGTACATTGAAATTCAAAGGTCAGCACAAATGGCCAAAATCCGACATTTTCTCACCTTTCTGCCCGTTCGCAGCTCAGAAAATGACAATGACCACCCTTATCTCCTTTTGTAGCTGGACAAAGACAAGTGTACCAAGAAAAGCAGCCATATTTCTCTAAAGAACTCGCCCAGGGCTGCTGAAAGCTGAAAAATAACCTATCTCACAGTTTGGGGCTTTTTTACCGTGAATCTTCACTTTGCGACTAAACCATTCACAGCAGCGCCAAATTTTCTGGGTCAGTGAATGTGGATGCCAGCGCCCTCCACGCAAACCAAAAATCAAATCAATGCGACCATTGACAATGCAGCTGGGTCATGTTATAGAGAGGTACATTGAAATTCAAAGGTCAGCACAAATGGTCAAAATCCGACATTTTCTCACCTTTCTGCCCTATCGTAGCTCAAAAAATGACAATGACCACCCTCATCTCCTTGTGTAGCTAGACATAGACAAGTGCAACAAGAAAAAGAGCCACATTTCTCTAAAGAACTCGCCCAGGGCTGCTGAAAGCTCAAAAATAACCTATCTCACAGTTTGGGGCTTTTTACCCGTGAATCTTCACTTTTCGAATAAACTATTTACAGCAGTGCAGAATTTTCTAGGTCACTGAATGTGGGTGCCAGCGCCCTACAAGCAAACCAAAAATCAAATCAATGCGACCACTGACATTACAGCTGGGTCATGTTATAGAGAGGTACAGGTCCTCCCTCATTATAACGAGTCCGGTTAGTACATAAACCCCGTTAGTAAATAGAAATCTGAAATCCTCTGGCGAAACGTGGTCTATACAACTGTTCACAGGTCCGGTTACAACATAATCCGTTATTATATAAAATCCGTTACAACGACCCTTTGTCCAGGTCCCTGGAGTGCCAAACCCTCAGTATAAGATAATATTGACCATGCAGGACCAAGGCCAAAACACGTAGGATAAAGCAGAAAGAGGAAACGTATTATGTCTATGTATTCGTGAATATGGACGATCCTTTGCATTCAAGGAAGAGTTATGTTGGAGTAACTTGGAGATTTTCAATTATCTTATAACGAGTTGAAGCATCGATAATTTATGTTGTATCGAGGGTAGCCCCGGTAAGTACGAAGTAGTGCCTATTTCACCTTTAGCTGCAAGTCCTGCAACAAGATAAGTCTCGTTATAAGATAACTTTTTCGATGGCCCAGAGATTGTCTACTAACGAGGGAGGACCTGTACATTGAAATTCAAAGGTCAGCACAAATGGTCAAAATCCGACATTTTCTCACCTTTCTGCCCGTTCGCAGCTCAGAAACAGACAATGACCATCCTCATCTCCTTGTGTAGCTGGACATAGACAAGTGCACAAAGAAAAACAGCCACATATCTCTAAAGAACTCGCCCAGGGCTGCTGAAAGCTGAAAAATAACCTATCTGACAGTTTGGGGCTTTTTACCCGTGAATCTTCACTTTGCGACTAAACTATTCACAGCAGCGCCAAATTTTCTGGGTCACTGCATGTGGGTGCTGTTGTATTATGATGTAATGCATCACGTAGCCTTGCAAGAGCATGCGCAAGATACACATCTCGCAGCTGCCTACTTTCATGCAGGTTCCTTTAGATGTCGTGGTTCTTATGATTTGCCTACAATGGCCAAGTGAGAATATAATCCTGTCGTAAACAACTAACTTCTTTACCCCGAAACATGGTGTCAGAAGTAAACTAAATAAACGCCCTAGAATTGTCGCAGTAGCGCCACCGGCGCAAGAGGTAAAATGGCAGAAGCAGCCGGAATTAACCCGGCGTCGATGGATTGGCAAGCCGCAGATTTACCTGACGAATTCGAGCGGTTCCAACAATACTGCCTTCTAGTTTTCCAAGGGCCCTTTTCCGGCAAGTCCGACAAGGAAAAGGTCGCCTATGTCATGCTATGGATCGGGAGAACTGGTGTTGATGCTTTCAATAGTTTCGAGTGGGATAATGCAAGCGACAAATCCAAAGTAGCTGCCGTCTTCAAGAAATCTAATAAGCATTTGCAGCCACGGGTAAATGCACGACTGGCTCGGTTTGAGCTTCAGAAATACCGCCAGCAACCCGACGAGTCTGTAGATGATTTCTTTGCGAGGTGTAAGAAGAAGACGTCCAAGTGCAAGTTCAGGGACGCTCAGGAGACTAACGATCGCCTGATAGAACAGCTAATCGTAGGGACGAAGCACTCGAAAGTGCAAGAACGCCTGCTGGAGGGTGGTAGTGATTTGACTCTGGACGAAGCGCTTGACAAGGCCCGTACTTATGAAGCAACACAGCGCCACATGGAGTAGCTGTCCACCTCCACCAGCAGCAGCCGTCTACCTGAAACGGTTCACGCCATTTCCAAATCTGTGGGACACGCAGACTGCGGCAAATGTGGACGAACCCACCACCCAAGCAAGTGCCCAGCGCACGGCTCCACCTGCAACAAATGCGGGAAGGCGAATCACTGGGCAAACGTATGCCGTTCGCAGGGGAGAGACGAGGCACATGGAAGGGGCC